TTCCCTACATAAACAGCCCAAATATATATAGTTGGGTTTCATATGGTATATCTAGGAATCTATCATCGATAACTCTGAAGTTGATGGAGATTCCTAAATGTCAGCCATACTTTTTATGTTATCTGTTCCTAGGTCATTTTCATACTATTTTTATTTATTTATTTCAAATATCGATTGATTGGATCCTACGGATGACCCTGAAAACAACCAAATTCTAATTTCATTCGCATGGGGAGTGACCACTCTTTTTGGGTAGTACCGTACATGTTGTTTTTTTACTATGGAACGTTACTAGCAAAAAATTAATACAACCCATGTTACACATGATTTTGTGCTTTCAAATGTTTATTGGAGGATGGTATTGCCTCAATGGGACATGTTACACAGCCAATGAACAAAAGGTCGTTGGCAATTATTGAACCTACCATTCATAGGGTCAATTTTGCAAGTTCAGCAAATTACCGTTAGCTTACTTTTTCCATATTTCAAATTTGACCCATGCAAATACTAACATGTGTGGTTTATATAATTTTTTTTTCAGCATCAGTGTTCTAAGATTTATCTTGAACTAATTTGATTTAGTTAATAGATAAGTAAAATCTTGTTAAAAATTATTTCGCTAAAGACCAAATTTTTTGACCTTGAATTTAACACCTTAATTACTTGTATCCAACTCTTTAAATTTGGTTCATACATTTTCTCTTTGTACGATTAATTTCAAATTTTAAAGTGTTTACACACATTAAAAAGAATGATAACATCTCATTCATAAGAAAGAAAACAAATCTTAAAATACTTGATAGAAAACTATCTTAAAATAATTGAAACAAATTGATAATATCTTAAAATTTAAATAATATTTAAAAAATTTAAAAACATAAATAATAAATTTTTAAAAGAACCAAAATATGTTTTTTTATATTTAAAATTAGACATTTAGACAACCTAGACCAGACCATACCTACCAACATCCCACAACAAGATTCAATTCAATATACATAAACCTGATCCATTCCAGCTGATGAATTCATAAGATATTTGTGTGGTACTAAATAGTTTTGAACTTTTTTTTTCGTCCCTGGAGTATCCACCGCCGATAGTAGTGACTAATCTCCTCGTTACGTTGGAGACACCTCAAAGGGTGGGATAGTTGACCCCAAGATTTAACGCGGCTACATACATAAGGCAGGATTCAAACCCCTAACCTTACTTAAATGTAGATCAACCCCTACCGTTAAACCACATGCTTGGGATTACTAAATAGTTTTGATTAAAGAAAGGGTACTAAGCTACAATATACAATTAATGATTGTTTGTTCTTTGGTTGGATGATGGTTCACGTGCGAAGACAGGCAGAAGAGTGGAGAAGAATACTAGAATAGATGCGATCCAATTGTTATTTATTTATTTTTTTAACTATGACATCGAAACATTCACTATTAAAAATATGAATTTTTGTCCAACATCATAAATATATACGATATAGATATTCTTCTTTTAACATAAAATGAAGATCTAAATTGTAAACAAGTATGAGTGAACCTCGAGGCAGCGTGTTGATGGGGCTTTGTTTGCCATCCCAACATTATCTCTACAGAGCTTCTACCTCTGCTCTGCATGTGGGGTACGTATGTATGCTGCTGCTGCTACCACTCACACTGGCACTGCTATTTCCATCGTGTGAAAACCACGCTCTACCACTGCCTATGCCACTTATGTAACTTCCTCTTCCCATGTAATTGGTGAGACCAACTTCCTCACTAATTCAATCTATCTTATGTTCTGCCTTCGATAAATAAATGTTATCTTCATTTAGAATTCATCAACTTTATCATCAAATAGTTGGTTTATATATATATATATATAAATACTTTTGTTATGGTTGTCAAAGATAGATTAGATGATTATTTGAAAAAAAAAGGTTTTAACTTGGAAACCATTCTTTGTCTTTGTGTGAAGAGAAACAAGTAAGAAAATAAATAGAAATTTCACATTCTTCCAAATATTTTTACAAGTTGTTCAAAAATTTGAATGAGTTAGATATTTCTTTAGATGTTCTAGTATGTGATTTTTTTAATATTATTTTTATTATTTTTTAACCTTTATAGAATAATTTATTTTATTTCTTTCTTTATATATATATATGACAATATTTGGCTATTTCCAAGAATGTAAGCTTTATTAAATTATGTGATAAAAAAGGTAATATATATTTGAATGTATGGTAAATTGATAAATAATCAATTTATTATTATTTGAGTGAAACATTTATTAAAAGTTACACCGGTTTGAACCCTCTTCTTTAAAAATTATATGATATTTTATTACATTTTAATTTATAAAAGTAAATTAAATATTAATTTGAGTCTATATAATAAATTATCATAATTTTTAAATTTAATTTATAAAAAATTATGAATTTGATAAAATAATTTAATTGCATTGAAATTTATTAAATTGTATTGAGTAAATTATATAAAATATAATAAAGGCAAAAAATTAATAAATAAGACGTAAAATTTGTAAAAATAATAAGCCTTGTTTATGTCCTATTAAATATTAAAAAAAAATGCAGTAAGTTAAAGTGATAAAGTAAAAGTCCAATTATTGATTTTTGTCACTGAAAAAGAAAAAGACTCAAAGTATATAAATTATTTTTAAAATATTTGTAAAAGGGAAAAATATAAGCACATAAATAAAAAAAATTTTAAAAAAAAACCTTGAACAATAGTGCTCAAAAACATAAACTAACATAATAATAAAATGAAAAACGAAAAGAGAGAAAAATGCATAGAGGTAATATCTATAAAGACCTAAGAAGAAATATTAAAAGATACACATAAGGTGATATATCTAATCAATTTTTATTTGATAATTGAGTGATTTACTCAATCTTAAGTGTGTAAATCATAATAATTATCTTTCTTTTTCCTTATTTTTAGTAATGTTAGCCTCTTTTTAGCATGAGTTGGTTAGTTTTGCAATTCTTGTGATTCCTTTTAGAATTTTTGGACCAAATCTCATAGTGAAACTTTTTTTTTTTTATATAGAAAAATGAGGATGAAGAAAGTAGAGAACTCCAACATTTAAGGATCAATTCGGAGCAAAGGAGTGACTCACTCGAATTTTTGGTTAATGCCAATCTAGTCGCTGAGAGGTGGATGAAATAATACTAAGTCACAAAGCTATGTTCTAGCTTAGCAAGCCTGCTTTAACTCAACAACACTAGGTCACAGAAGCTTTCTCTTGTTGAGTGAGACCTAGGCATCGAGCAAGAGACCCCTGGAAGCAATAAAGACATTTTCTCGCTCAGCAACCACAATGGCTCGTTGAGCGAAAATTAGTGAACACTTGGACATCTGAGGTAAAAAGAATGTTCTCTATTAGGGTAGACTTGGGGATTTGAGTAGTATTACTGAATACATTATTGATAGACTTCTAACGATTGGAAGAACCCTAGAGTTCCATTTGTTTATCTTTGTCATTTCTTCTAAATCTTTGTGCTTACAATGACTATGAGTAGCTAATTTTTCCTTCAATGGAATTGGGTGTAACTAGATGAACCTCATATATTAACTTTGCTTCATTAATCGATGTTTTATTCCATCATTTAGTATTTTTCTCTTCTCTTAATACTCTCTTGATTATTGTTATCTTGAGTTAATAATTTTACTTAAGTAGTCATTGAGAAATGTTTCTTGAGTTATGTATGAGCAAAAACATCCACTGAATATTTGTTTAGGGATAAACATGAGTTCAATGGACATTTTGTATCTATCCATGTTTCTAACTAATGTTTGTATTTCAGTCACTTTAGTTTAGGAATTGATGATTTGGGTGAAATACATGGTTTTAGGCCACTAAGAGATTATGGTTTGAAGATTTTAAGTAATAATGTTGAGTAATAGTGTAAAATATTGATGAAAATCCTTTGTTAAACTAATACATGATGGTGAACTAATGAAACCCAATCTCAATGGTCTTCACCATTTGATTCTCTTAATATCTTGTTGACATGTGTTCAATAAAATTTCCAAAATCAACTTTACATTTAATTGCATCTTTTTATCCTGTTTAAGTTCATTTATGCAAAATTCAATTTTAGCAAACTAAAATTTTATTCTTTTGAATTATAATATAGTATATTGAGTTATAATTATAATATATTATATAAGTTCCTTTGGGAGATGATGTTATTTCAAAAATACTACACACAATTTTATAAATTTATCAAAAGTCCAACATTAAGTGAGCATTAGATTAAAGGGCAAATAAAGTAATTCACTACATTATTATAATTAATAAAAATTGCGTTTAATTCCACTTTCATGTTTTCACATATTGATGATGCATTGTTATAAGAACTATTTTATTTATTTGCACAAAAAGTGTCATTGTTGTAAGTTAATTAAATATGTTAAACAATATTCTCTTTCTCTCAGACCAATGGAGAGCAAAACGAAGGAAATAAAGTGTTAAGTCAAGAAAAAAAATGGTAAACAAATGAAAAGACAGAGAATGGAGAAATGCACCTATTAGTTGACCCTACACCATAGTGGAAGAATAAATATAACAAATGACGTGATGGAGAAAAAAATAACATTATGTAAATGTCATTTTTAAAATCTGAATTTGAGACCTTAGTTAGTTTTACTCAAACTAAATGATATATTGGTAGTTAGTTTTTTGAGACTTTACTTAAAGGACTGGACCTTTGAACTAACCAAATTATAAGTGATTTTCTATTGGTTTAAGTATTGGTTATATCATGTAAAATAAATAAAAAAGGATATTTAATAAAAAATATACAAAAATATTAAAAAATTTATACTAAATTTAAAAACACTTGTAATTATATACAAATAGTGTGTTTAGGAAAGATTATTTTTTATTTTTAACTGTTTCTTTTTGAGAAAAAAGGTTGTTTGTTAAATAATTTGATTTTTTGAGATAACAACTTACTTTTGTAAAGAGCTTCGCCCCCTCCCCCTAAGAAATAAGCTATTTCAATGAATTGAAAATTTTGAAGCTTATGATTATTTTTCAACAATTTTCTTTTCTTGAAACTAATAGCATGTTTGAGAAAGATTTTTTTTCTCCCATCATTTCAACTGTTTTCAATGAAAAAAGTTGTTTTAAAAAAAGCTAATTGTTTGAAACAATAACTTAAATTTGTAAATAATTTTGTTTTTGAAAAATAAGTCATTTTCCTTAATATGAGAATTTGAAGATTATAATTACTTTTTAACATTTTTTTATCTTACAATTGAGCTGGTTTTTTTTTGTTATATTCTCTAAACCTGATCCAACGCTACCAATTGTGGTCTATTTATGTGTATCAAGTGATACAATAAGTACAGCTCTAATTCAAGAACGGGAGGGACAACAACCCATTTACTTCATCAGTCGCATGCTACAGGAGGCTGAGACAAGGTACCAGCTCTTAGAAAAAGTGGCACTGGGGCTAGTCCATACCGCTCGGCGCCTCCGGCAATATTTCCAGAGTCACCAAATCGTCGTTCGAACTGATTGCCCGATAGCTAAAGTGTTACGTAAACCAGAATTGGCAGGAAGGATGATGGCTTGGTTTATCGAGTTATCGGAGTTTGACATTGGTTTTCAGCCTAGAGGGCCGATCAGGTCCCAGTGCTTGGTGGATTTTATCAATGAGTTGCAGCCGAAAGGTTGTTTTGTGAATAGTTTGTGGACGATACACGTGGACGGTTCCTCAAACAGTCAAGGTAGTGGAGCTGGAATAATTTTGGAAGGACCAACAGGATTGATTCTAGAACAATCATTACGGTTTTCGTTTAAAGCTTCAAATAACCAGGCTGAGTATGAAGCACTGTTGGCAGGTTTAAGGCTTGCACGAGAGATCGGAGTTAGCCGATTGGAGTGCTGGACCGATTCAAAAATTGTAGCCGAGCAGGTGAATGATAATTTTCAAGTAAAAGATGCGAACTTGTTAAAATATTATCATTTGTTTCAAAAAATGCGTGATATGTTTGAAGAAGTTCATGTAAAGCACACCCCAAGAGAAAACAATGAGAGGGCGGATCAGTTGGCTCGGTTGGCAAGCAGTACCAGAAAACCCAGACAGCTGAGAACCACGCTTCACTTGGAACTTGAAGCACCGAGTGTGGTAGCTGCCGAATGTTTGGCAGTGCAGGAGTCCGCTCGAACATGGATCACTGAGATAGTGGAGCATCTTGAATATGGTAAACTACCATCGGATCCAACGGCTGCTAAAAAGCTCCGAACGCAGGCTGCTAGATATATTGTGGTTGGAGGAGAGCTGTATAGAAGAGGATTCTCGGTTCCGTTGTTAAAATGCGTTGATAAAGAGCAAGCCAATTATATATTGAGAGAGATTCATGAAGGGATATGCGGTTTTCATTCGGGAGGACGAACTTTAGCCACTAAGGTGCTTCGGGCAGGATACTATTGGCCTACTCTCAGGGAAGATTGTGTAACGTTCGTAAAACACTGTATATCATGCCAACGGCATGGTAACCTTATTCATGCTTCAGCTGAAGAACTTCATGGTATTAATTCACCTTGGCCGTTCGCAATGTGGGGTATGGATATTCTTGGACCCTTCCCAATTGCCAAGGGTCAGTGCAAATTTTTGCTAGTTGCTGTAGACTATTTCACGAAATGGGTCGAGGCCGAGCCACTTGCTAGTATCACAGCTGCTAATGTTCAAAAGTTTTTGTGGAAAAACATCATTACTCGCTTCGTCATTCCATATGCACTTGTAACCGATAATGGTTTGCAATTCACCGATCAAAAACTTAATCGGTTCATTCAGGATCTCGGCATCAAGCACAGATTCACATCGGTAGAACACCCGCAAGCTAATGGGCAGGCCGAAGCAGCAAATAAAGTAATTCTTGGTGAACTAAAGAAAAGATTGGGAGATGCCAAGGGAGCTTGGGCAGAGGAGTTGTTAGAGGTTTTATGGGCTTATCGGTGCACGCCTCAGTCCACGACTAATCAATACTGTTCATAGACAGTCTTCTCGGTGGTTGCCAGCAATAACCTTCACTGATGCTGACTTCAAAGGCATTGATCCGGAGCAAGACGATCCGATGGTTATCAGTGTAGAAATCCACAATTGCATCGTCAAGAAAACATTGATCGACCAGGGCAGTTCGGCAGATATTATATATTGGAACACATTCAAGCAGTTGGGCATTTCTGAAAAAGAATTGCTTCCCTATGACGATCCGTTGGTTGGTTTTGCAGGGGAGAGGGTCAGTACCAGGGGTTACATTAAACTCTTCACACGCTTTTGTTTTGACGAACAAGAAAGCAGAGAAGTTCAAGTAAAATATATTGTGGTGGATGCTAGCACTTCATATAATATCCTCCTCGGCAGACCGTCTTTGAATGCATTGGGGGCTATCGTCTCAACACCACATTTGGCGATGAAGTTTCCATCCGACAAAGGGAAAATAATCACAATTCACGCCGATCAGAAGGCTGCTAGAGAATGCTATTATGCTAGTTTGCGAGTTTTACCGTTGGAAGAAAGAAAATCTAAATCAAACAGAATACATGCTGTGAACGCTTCGGCACTTCTAGAGGAGGCTGTGTGGGATCTTGATCCAAGAATGAATAATGAAGAGCGTGTGGAGCCGATTGAGTCAAAAATACATTTTCAGATAGGTTCACGTCCTGAGCAGGTTACATACATCGGTGCCGATATGTCCAAAGACGACCGTTCGGCCCTATGTAAGGTTATAGTGGAGAATAAAGATCTTTTTGCCTGGACACCTTCTGACATGCCGGGTGTAGACCCGAAGGTTATGTGTCATAAGTTATCAATTTGTGCCGAGGCAAGACCGATCGCGCAGCGGAAAAGAAAAATGGGGAACGAAAGAAAACTTGCGGTTGACACGGAGGTTGCCAAGTTGCTTGATGCCGGATTCATTCGGGAGGTCCATTACACCACTTGGTTGGCAAATGTAGTAATGGTAAAAAAGTCAAATGGGAAGTGGAGAATGTGCACTGATTACACAAGTCTCAACAAGGCATGTCCTAAGGATGCTTACCCACTTCCAAACATAGATCGATTAGTTGATGGAGCCTCGGGTCATGGAATGTTGACTTTTCTTGATGCTTACTCGGGATATAACCAAATTCCCATGCATACCCGTGACGAGGAAAAGACGGCCTTCATAACCGATTCGGCCAATTACTGCTATCAGGTAATGCCGTTTGGGTTGAAAAATGCAGGGGCAACGTACCAAAGGTTGATGAACAAAGTTTTTCAACACCAAATAGGCAAGAACATGGAAGTGTACGTGGATGACATGGTCGTAAAATCCAGAAGCATCGATCGGCATGTAACGGACCTTTCGGAAGTATTCCAACAGGTGCGCAAGTATGATATGCGGCTCAATCCGGAGAAGTGCGTATTTGGAGTGTCCGGAGGCAAATTCCTGGGCTTCATGCTTTCGGCGAGAGGTATTGAAGCTAATCCTGACAAGTGTATGGCAATCGTCAACATGATAAGCCCTCAGAACCTTAAACAAGTTCAACAACTAGCAGGTCGGCTTACAGCGTTGTCACGATTTCTCTCGTGTTTGGCCGAAATAACAAAACCCATGGTGGGATTGTTGAGAAAAGCGAAAAAATTTGAATGGTCTGATGAATGTGAAAAGGCCTTTCGGACCCTAAAGGAACGTCTCGGTTCGCCGCCTATACTTTCTAAACCTGATCCAACGCTACCAATTGTGGTCTATTTATGTGTATCAAGGCCCGTAAAAAATCCCAGCTATTGGGATGCAACTGACAGGGAGCCGCATTGACGTGACTCAAGAAATCACACTCAAACCGAGTGAAAGGGAGACGGACACCCAGATCCCTGAAGAAGCACCAAAACATATAGAAATGAGGAGAGTCAGTCGACTTCCCCATAAACACACCTTCTCCGGCCTGGCAAGGGTCAAGCTGGAGCATTGAAGAAACGGAGGGGTCACAAACCCGCCCCGTTTCCCAAACGGCGTCAACATCAGCGCGCGAGCGGCGTTTACTAAATGTTTTGTATAAAAGAGAGTGAGAAAGAAGGGAAGAGTGAAGAAATTACTCGAGAAAGTTGTTTAAGATAAATGAAGTAGATAGGAAGAGAAGGGAAGAATAATTAAACAAGTTGTAACAAAATAATTAACTTCTTCACAATTTTGCAAAGAAGTACAAAGAACTCAAACTTTTGTAACATACATAATCGAATATATTAAGATAATTGATTTATATCCATGTTATACATATATATATATATATATATATATATATATATATATATATATATGTCATGTTCCTTCTTCCCTTAATCTTGTATGTTCTAATAGTGTAAATTTTGTTATTAATAATGATTCCGTTGAATATAATGATCATGACGAATCATTACATGAATACTCTTTAACTTGCTTCCAAGTAATTGTAAAAGTATTTTTTTTCATATACATAAAATCACTTTATGTTTTAACCAAATTCATTAAAAAAAATGATAAAAGGGAAAAGCAAGTAATTGTATGTATTTTTTCATATACATAAACTCACTTTATATTTTAACCAAATTCATTATAAAAAATGATAAAAGGGCAAAGCTCAATGACTACTTTATATTAGACCATGATTGAATTAGGCTAAAAAAATCTCAAATTTAATTTACGCTTAAAATTTGTTGCTTAGCTCCAATATTTCATCAAGTGAGATTCAGTCACGTTTGGTGACTCTGTCCCATTTGATCACCTTTAATAAAGATGGAATAAGATGCAAAAAGACCAAATAAAAGATAAAAAAAAAGGGTGAAAGAAAATATCGTAAAGAAAGAAACAAAATTTTAAAAGGATTAAAACTAAAATTATAATTTTTTTCCTTTTTAAAAAATGAGTTAAAATAATTTTAAAATTTATTCAAAATGATTCCAATTTAATTTCATTATCATTTTAAGATTTAATTTAAAACTAAAAATTGAATTTTTGTTTTCAAACAAAATTAATCTTTAAATTTAGTTTAAAAACTAAAAATGGAAAATTTATGATCCCCAAAACAGTGCCTAAACTAGTAAGCAGAGACATCTCCTCTTCAACTGCATTCAACAGGGATGGATTGCTGAGGAAAGGCTTCAGACGGTGCCCATTAACTTTGAAGCTCTTGTCTGTGGATTCACTTTTGACCTCAACTGTACCATAAGGAAAAACATTAGTAACGACAAAAGGTCCAATCCACTTAGAACGTAACTTACCACCCATGAGTTCGAGCCGAGAATTGTACAAGAGAACTTTCTGGCGAACCACGAAGTCCATCCTAGCTATCAAGCTGTCATGGAACTTCTTGGTTTTCTCCTTGCATGGATCACTGAGATAGTGGAGCATCTTGAATATGGTAAATTACCATCGGATCCAACGGCTGCTAAAAAGCTCCGAACGTAGGCTGCTAGATATATTGTGGTTGGAGGAGAGCTGTATAGAAGAGGATTCTCGGTTCCATTGTTAAAATGCGTTGATAAAGAGCAAGTCTTTAACTTCCCACCCATGAGTTCGAGCCGAGAATTGTACAAGAGAACTTTCTGGCGAACCACGAAGTCCATCCTAGCTATCAAGCTGTCATGGAACTTCTTGGTTTTCTCCTTGTAGAACTTAGAGTTCTCATAGGCTTCAAGGCGGATCTCATCAAGCTCACTCAGTTGCAACTTCCTTTCCTCTCCAGCCTGATCAATAGAGAAGTTGCAAGTCTTCACAGCCCAGTAGGCTCGATGCTCTATCTCCACAGGTAAATGACATGCCTTACCAAAGATAACCCAATAAGGAGACATCCCTATAGGTGCTT